AAAAAATAAATAAATTACGAAAAGAAATTCAATAGTATATCGACTTAAAATGCTTTTGGGTCAACACTTCACACAAATTTGAAGAAACTAAAGGAAGTCTTGGTCAATATCCACATATATAATAAAGGTTTGGGTAAATTACATATTTAGAACCAAAACTATCAGTTTTGGTCTGTTTAGTATCTAAACTTTCAATTTTTATTCAAAACCATACCTAAAATTTATTTTTTTGTTTCATTTTAGTATCACCCGAGTCGAAGTAACTTTTAGGGTAAACTACACATTTAGTATCTAAATAGTATGAAAGCAATCATGGTCTTTGTTCACATTTATTTGTTGCAATTTCAAAACACTTACATGAAAGCAAAAGCTAGAAAGAAGGCAGACAACAATGCATTATTGAGGAAAATAATGGAATATTACTCTTTATAAAGGTAAAAAATAAATAAATTACGACAAGAAATTCAATAGTATATCGACTTAAAATGCTTTTGGGTCAACACTTCACACAAATTTGAAGAAACTAAAGGAAGTCTTGGTCAATATCCACATATATAATAAAGGTTTGGGTAAATTACATATTTAGAACCAAAACTATCAGTTTTGGTCTGTTTAGTACCTAAAATTTAGTTTTTTGTTTTATTTTAGTATCACCCGAGTCGGAGTAACTTTTAGGGTAAATTACACATTTAGTATCTAAACAGTATGAAAGCAATCATGGTCTTTGTTCACATTTATTTGTTGCAATTTCAAAACACTTACATGAAAGCAAAAACTAGAAAGAAGGCAGACAACAATGGATTATTAAGGAAAATAATGGAATATTACTCTTTATAAAGGTAAAAAATAAATAAATTACGAAAAGAAATTCAATAGTATATCGACTTAAAATGCTTTTGGGCCAACACTTCACACAAATTTGAAGAAACTAAAGGAAGTCTTGGTCAATATCCACATATATAATAAAGGTTTGGGTAAATTACATATTTAGAACCAAAACTATCAGTTTTGGTCTGTTTAGTATCTAAACTTTCAATTTTTATTCAAAACCATACCTAAAATTTAGTTTTTCGTTTCATTTTAGTATCACCCGAGTCGGAGTAACTTTTAGGGTAAACTACACATTTAGTATCTAAATAGTATGAAAGCAATCATGGTCTTTGTTCACATTTATTTGTTGCAATTTCAAAACACTTACATGAAAGCAAAAGCTAGAAAGAAGGCAGACAACAATGCATTATTGAGGAAAATAATGGAATATTACTCTTTATAAAGGTAAAAAATAAATAAATTACGAAAAGAAATTCAATAGTATATCGACTTAAAATGCTTTTGGGTCAACACTTCACACAAATTTGAAGAAACTAAAGGAAGTCTTGGTCAATATCCACATATATAATAAAGGTTTGGATAAATTACATATTTAGAACCAAAACTATCAGTTTTGGTCTGTTTAGTACCTAAAATTTAGTTTTTTGTTTCATTTTAGTATCACCCGAGTCGGAGTAACTTTTAGGGTAAACTACACATTTAGTATCTAAACAGTATGAAAGCAATCATGGTCTTTGTTCACATTTATTTGTTGCAATTTCAAAACACTTACATGAAAGCAAAAGCTAGAAAGAAGGCAGACAACAATGCATTATTGAGGAAAATAATGGAATATTACTCTTTATAAAGGTAAAAAATAAATAAATTACGAAAAGAAATTCAATAGTATATCGACTTAAAATGCTTTTGGGTCAACACTTCACATTAATTTGAAGAAACTAAAGGAAGTCTTGGTCAATATCCACATATATAATAAAGGTTTGGGTAAATTACATATTTTAGTATCACCCGATTCGGAGTAACTTTTAGGGTAAACTACACATTTAGTATCTAAACAGTATGAAAGCAATCATGGTCTTTGTTCACATTTATTTGTTGCAATTTCAAAACACTTACATGAAAGCAAAAGCTAGAAAGAAGGCAGACAACAATGCATTATTGAGGAAAATAATGGAATATTACTCTTTATAAAGGTAAAAAATAAATAAATTACGAAAATAAATTCAATAGTATATCGACTTAAAATGCTTTTGGGTCAACACTTCACACAAATTTGAAGAAATTAAAGGAAGTCTTGGTCAATATCCACATATATAATAAAGGTTTGGGTAAATTACATACTTAGAACCAAAACTATCAGTTTTGGTCTATTTAGTATCTAAACTTTCATTTTTTTATTCAAAACCATACCTAAAATTTAGTTTTTTGTTTCATTTTAGTATCACCCGAGTCGGAGTAACTTTTAGGGTAAACTACACATTTAGTATCTACACATTTAGTACCTAAAAAAGTGCCCACCCACATGTCCCCTCGGTCCATCCCGAGTTTGTTCAAGGTGTTGTTGGAAGAATAATTTTTTGAACGTTTACTTTCACTAAACTTTTAGGGTAAACTACACATTTAGTATCTAAACTATCAGTTTTGATCTGTTTTAGTACCTAAACTTTCAATTTATTCAAAACTCATACATAATATTTAGTTTTTGTTTCATTTTAGTACTCACTGTTAAAAACTTAATGTGTCAAGTACCTAAACTATCAAATTTGATCATTTTAGTACCTAAATTGGTTTGTGATACTAAAATATTAAAATTGAATTTCTTCATTTTAAATTGGTTGATCGGATACCACCTTTTTTTTGGATAAGTAAAATTTTATTATCCAACGAAGAAAGTACACCATAACATCCTAAATGGAGTAAACGCTAATTACAACAAAATAATGATCAGTCAATACCCCATGAGTTACATAAGTTAATATTAACATTATATGTTCTATTGAAGTTCCTATTGCTAAGATTGATTATAACATGGTCCTTTACAATCTGTAAGATTTGTTCAGGAGATCTTGATTCTCTTCTAAAAATTCGTCTATTCCTTTCTTCCCATATCAAGTACATGAAAGTTGTCCAAGAAAGTTTCAGAATAGTAGTAAGCAAAGATTTGCCTTTCCACTGTTGAGTAGCCCATCTTATCCTTGATTCCCAGGAAGAATGCGTGTTACACATATTTGCAAGGTTCATGATTGAATTCCATAGTGAAGTAGCATAAGAACATTCCTCAAACAAGTGATTCCTTGTTTCCTGCAACTCATTACATAATAAACATAAGTCGTCAGTAATAATTCCCATTTTAGAGATTCTGTCCCGAGTAGGAAGACGGTCCAGCAAAGCCATCCAGGAGATAATACTCAGCTTGGGAATGTGGAGAGGGAACCAGATGATTTTGTGCCAATAGATCTTTGCTTGATGAACTCTCATTTTCTCCCATATTTCTCTAGTCTTCGAAATTCCAGAGCTAATAATAGGGAGAGCTTCATTCCTTAGTTTAATAAGTTTCTTGAAACACCAACTAAAGGAAGAACATTCACTGATGACTGTGAAATTTCTGTCTTTAATTACATAGCAGTGGATCCATGCAACCCACAAAGATCCATCACCGGCAAGAATTTTTCGAATGAGGTGAACCATACAGGTTTTATTCCAAGTTCTGATATTTTTTAAGCCAAGACCGCCTTCTGATTTGGGATTGCATATTTTCTCCCAACCGATTCTTGCTCCTGTAGTAGCCTTATCGGAACCTTTCCAAAGAAATCTTGAGCAGAGTTGTTCGATTCTTTTAATAACTTTCAGAGGGAGTAAAAATTGCCTGCTCCAGAAATTTACTACACTGTAAAGAACTGTTTTTATAAGCTCCAGTCGACCTGCATAACTCAAAAATTTCCTGGACCAGTGCTGAAGCCTCTGTTTGATGTTCTCAATCAGCGGAAGACAGTCTTTTTCTGTTAATTTCCTGGTAACAAGGGGAACACCTAGATATCTGACAGGAAGTAAACCTTGTTTGAATCCTGTGGCAGTTTTAATATTTTCCAGATTTCTAGAAGAGATACCAGCAGCAAACAATTCAGTTTTGCTAATGTTAAGCTTTAGACCAGACAGATCATAGAAGTGATTAAGCACAGTCATGACTCTAATAATAGATTCAAGGTTCCCTTTGTAAAAAATTAAGAGATCATCAGCGAAAGATAAGTGAGTAATGCCAATTTTTTTGCACTTAGGGTGATATCCAAAAATTCCTCTAGAAGTAGCAATGTTAAGCAATTTTGAGAGAATATTCATTATAAGCACAAATAGAATTGGTGATAATGGATCACCTTGCCTTATGCCTCTTTGACCCTTAAAGTAGCCTATCAAACTCCTATTGAAAGAAATGGAGTATATTGCTCCTTTGAAACAAGCTTCAATCCACTTTGTAAAAATAAGGGGCAGCCCTATTGCAATAAGAACAGAAGAAATAAAATCCCAGTGAAGGGAATCAAAGGCTTTTTGAAGGTCAATTTTGAGGGCATACCTTGGAGATATGTTTTTTCTACCATAGCCTTTTACCAATTCTTGAGCAAGGAGAGTGTTATCGATTATTGATCTACATTTCACAAAAGCAGTTTGATTAAGCGAAATAATATCAGGCAACAGTAAAGTTAATCTTTTGACAAGGATTTTGGTGATAATTTTGTACACTACAGAACAACATGATATTGGTGTGTAGTCCTTGACTTTACTGGGGTTTGTAATTTTAGGAATCAATGCAATAATTATGGAGTTGAAAGCAGGGATTTTATTAGTCTCTTGGAAGAAATATTGAACTGCTTTGATAACATCTTTACCTACAACAGTCCAGGATTTTTTGAAAAAGAGAGAGGTGTGGCCATCCGGGCCAGGAGCTTTGGCATTCCCTTGATTAAATAAAGCCTCTTTGATCTCTTCAGTAGTGATGTTTTGAGTTAAGTCAGAAACAGTCTCACTAGGTAAATTAACTTGGAGCAGATTTTTCAGATAAGAAGGATCACAATGGAGAACTTGAGGGTCAAGAGTACCTAGTTGAAGTTTGAAAAAATCAATGATTTCAGAAGTCATAGCATCATAGGTCTCGAGCCTTTTCCCTTCATTGTTGATTAGAACTCTAATGGTATCTCTTTTATTTTTGAGCATTTATCCCCATCTTTAATCCACTGGATTTTTGCTTTCTGCTTAAGAAACATTTTCTCATTGTCCTCTAAAGCATTCAAATCCTTTTGAACAATCAAATCCTTGTCCATAGAGTTGATGCCTTTAAGAGTTTCTATTTGAATTTGTTCCAACTCAGCCTTCTTTTGTTTTACCCTAGCAGAAATATTATTGTAGAAGTCTTTATTTAATTTATGAAGACAAGGTTTAAGGCATTTTAGCTTAGAGAATAATTTCTGCATTGGGTTACCATGGGAGGGTTGTTGCCAAGACTGTTGGACAATTTCAAGAAAGTTTGAATGAGTGGACCAGAAGTTGAAAAACTTGAAAGGCTTAGGTTTGTTGATTTGAGTGTCTTTGCTAATCCAGGCTAGCCCCATACAATGATCAGAAGGCCCATGGGCAGCGAATTCAATAAAAGATTTCTTAAAGGTGGTAACCCAAGGAGAGTTTATAAGAACTCTATCAAGTTTTCTTGCAAGGTACGTGTCTTTTTGTTTGTTGCTCCAAGTAAAGGTTGGGACAAAATAAGGATGATCTTGTAAGAAAAGGTCTTGAATCACTTTTTGAAACTCAATCATATCGTGAGAAATATAAGGTCCTAGGAGATCAGAATATGAGCTTTCATTGGAGTTTAGAAATATATTGAAATCACCTCCTAGGATCCAAGGAAGATCCAAACATAGGATCAAGGTCTCTAAGGGTTTGCCAGAGAATTCTTCGAGTAACACCACAGTTGCTACCATAAATTGCGGTGATGTAGAAAGTAGAATCATTATAAGAGCATTTGACAGAGATGTTTTGTGCAGAGGAGTGACAAAAGGATAAATCTATTCCTTTCTTCCAAAGGAGCCATATTCTTCCATTGGAAGCAAAGTCATAGTTGGTGAAGGCGTTCCAGCTCGAAAAGATAGAGTTTAGAATTTTTCCAGAGTTTTCAACTTTAACACGAGTTTCTAACAGGCATAAGATATCAACATTATAAAGATTTGCTCTGTTAAGAACTTTTTTCTACTTTTGAGGATTGTTGAATCCTCTTATATTCCAGAAACAGATGATCATTTAGAAAGAGAGGAGATTGAGCCCTCTATAGCACAATCTGAGGTACTAGTGAACTTAGAGATTTGTTCTTTCTTTTTTTGACTTTAGTTCCTTAATTAATTTTGTAACTCCATAAGCAGCATGTCTAGGCTTCCTAACTTGTATCTCAGTTATTGGAGAGCTCTCATCTACAGTGGTAAGGATATCAAATCTGTTTGCTGAACCTCTCAACATGGTTTTAGTTTTGGTTTTCAGAGGTCTACCTCTGCCTCATTTTGGGAAAGGAAGATTCCCGATTTCATCTTTCTTATTAGCTACTTGAGATAGAAATTCTTCTTTTTCAGACTCAACAGAGGGAGATGCACATAGATTCGTATCACTTTTATCAGTAATAAGAGTAAGTTGAAGGTCTGAAAGTTCATCCTTACCTTTATCAGAAACGGTAGAGGGTATTGGAGTAAGATTACTAATCTTTTCATCATCTTTAAGGATTTGAAGATCGGGGAGATCATCCTTAGAAGTCTGGTCCAAAATGGAAGGAGGAGTTGGGTTTAATTTTGTTTCTGGTCCTAAATCAGAGAGATCAGAAATTGCTCTAGAGGAAGATGGGATGTCCTACAGAGCTTCAGTAGTTACAGTTGGATTAGAGTCAGGATTTTCCTTTAAAGAAGTCTTTTTCCTCCATACTTTCGAAGTTTTATGAGCAAGAGAAGGATTAAATAAGTAACCCTTATCAGAATGTCCAAAAGTATTGCATTTGATACATCTAGGGGGTAACCAAGGTACTTCAACATAGACTGTGGTGGAAAGACCATTATCAAGAATAACCTCTACAGTTTCAGGGATTAAGTCCTTAGCTCCAACCTCTATATAGACCTTAGCAAAGTTAAGTCTAGATTTTGCAGCAGTATATGAATTCATAGTCAGTGGAACTCCTAAGGCACTAGCTATATAGCTAAGTCCTTCTCTAGTAAACAGTTCAAGAGGAACGTTAAACAGATGAACCCATATTGGCAGACGAGATAAATCAAACTCCAGTTTTTGCAAATTTTGTTCCCACTTTCTAAGAATTAGGGGTTTATTTAGAATATGCCAGGGCCCATTTTCAATTACCCAATCACGAGCAGAAGCAGAATTGAAATTGAAAACATACAAGTTATTTCCAGCGTGACATACCTGAACCCTAACTCCATTCGTAGGCTAATTCCAAAGGCTCTCTATGATTCGTTGCATTGTGTTAAAGTTTGGAGCAGCCCCTAAGAATTGTCCAACGAGTGAGGATTTCCATTCGGCAGAGCCTGCCTCGAAGACTTCATGCGGAGGTTGAACAATAGGGGTTTTTTCGCTGGATTTAGGGGGAAATATTGAAGTTATTGTCCCTCGTGACATCCAAAGAGCTTTCTCCAATCCATAATAATGCCCATAGAGGAAGAAGATTGACCCGTGGAGAATCTTGTGACGATCGGAGAAAACACCGACGATACAGCGCGGCAGAAATCTAGGTTTCGATAATCCTGCTATCTTGCGCCCAGAATCATGCCGTATGAGAGCTTTCACTATTGTGCACTTGGTATTGTTATACTACCCTAACTTAATTTAGTGATGTTAATTGATTGCTGATCGGATACCACCTTACCTGATCTGCGTTTTACCAAAAATATATCGGATTTGGGAGTCGGTTACAATCAAAGAATGATTAGCACCATTGAATTGTCCTTTCGGTACCATTTAATTTGTCGATTTTCTTAATTGCAAAAATTGAAATTAAAATTAAAATTTAAAAATTCGATTCAAATTACTTACCTTTGATTGATTAAAATTATCCTAAAAAATCATAAATAAAGTTAAAAATAAAACAAACAAAAAAAGAGAGTTAGTATTAAAATTGAAATAAAAAAAGTGAATAAAAGGAATGAAAAAAATACAATACCAAATTAAGAGTAAATAATTACTAAAATAAAATAAACAGAAAATAAAGTGTCCAAATTAGAAACAAACAAAACAGGAAATATAACATGTTAGTGATTATATTAAAAATAATGAAATTAAAGTGCCAGAAATGAAATAAATAAAATGTAGAGTTTTAGGGACTGGAATGTAAAAACACAGAAATATTTAAAGGGGTTCAATGCAATGTTTACGCATATATTTGGGAGCCATTATGCAAAACACGACAGGAATTGAAGGGACTTAAAAATGAGTAAACTAATACTTTAAGCAACCAAAGTAAAAGATGACTAAAGGTATAGGCACCCTAAGTGAGATTAACCCAAAATTAAAACAAAAGTCATTCTTCTTCCTTATTTATTTCCAGTACACGTGAACCCAAAACAAATGCCTCCCTTTCCCAATTTTCATTCTCATTTTTGCGATAGAACCCTAGCATTATATAAATTTATTTTTTGCTCTATCACTCAACCCACGGCAGACGGCTCATCCCAACTCCGGCGACATCAACATTACCCCGACGAACACCATGGCATCTAGGTAATTTTAAATCCCTAACTCATATATATATTTTTTAGAAAACGAAAAAATTTGTAGATAAACAAAAAAACTTATACTAACTGATTTTTTTTAGTTGCAATCTAAGAACTAAACAAATAAACTTAAAACTAGAATTATTGGAGTACCTAAGGATTCGGCTTTACCCTCCTCACCAAGTAAACCCGTTTAATCTATCTCTATTTTTACTACATGCTGTAAAAATATATGTTTATTATGCATATATATATATATATATATATATATATGCATAATAAACATATAAATATCTTACTGGTATTTCGGTGAAAAAAATACACAAAGATACCTTAAGATTGCTTTGTATTTCCTAGAAAAAAATCCAGAGGAATCTCCCCTGTTCCTACATTTTCAGTTGGCTTTTATAGCCATTTTACATATCTAACATAATACAAATTATTACACACTTGTTGTTTTGAATACAATATCTCTTGTGAGTGGCAGGAAGCAGGGATTAGTAGAGCGGCGGCAGAGCACTATGCGACATCAAGTTGTTTAGTGTTAGGTGAATCAGGTCGGGTTGGTCGGGTCTTACGGGTCGTATTGAATTCTTGGACTCCAACTGGTATTGGGCTACTGGGTTGTATTGGTAATTTAGGCCTCATTTATGTAATTATTTTGGGCTTGAGATTAGTCCTGCAAAACAGTGTAAATATTTGTTAATAATAATAATAATAATAATATATTTTTTAAACTCGATCAAAAACGGATGTTTACAAGTATTCAGATGGTCATTTCGGGGGGTGATTCTGATGTACGACGCCTAAAAACGGCGTGACTTGTTAAATAAGTAACCGATTAAAATTTAGATCGATTATTTTATATCATTTAACTGGAAATATTATCAAATAAGATAATATATTAGGTAGCGCTTATATAATGTAATAGGTAGCGTTTATATTGACATATTTTCTAACTAAACAGATATATTTAAACCGATAACATTGTAAATTTACCTATTACATTATAATTATCGGTTTTGATGTTTTTGGGATTAATATAATTTTAAATGTATCGACACTTTATGCGTGTACCTCGTTGTGCTTTCATTTTGGAAAAAAAGTTTCGACACATATTTAAAGAGTGTCGATACAAAATATAAACCTATTTGCTAATTAACCAGTATATTTTTACCAGTTACATTGTAAATTTACCTGTTACATAATAATTATCGATTTCGATGTTTTTTGAATCGATACTTTTCATAAATACATCGACACTTATGCGTGCATCAGTTTGAGTTCTTCAATCATAAGTTTATTCTTTGAGAAACTAAAACTGACCTTTTGCTTAAAATATCCAATTTTTTGTATTAAAAAATGAAAATTCTGAAATAAAAATGACCACACAAACACACTTTTTTACTATCGATTTGTCATTTCGAGATTGATTTTGTCATATTTTTACATGTTATATTGTTATGGATCGATACATTTTTATAAAGTATCGACACTTTATTGACGCTATAACTTCTTTTCTTTTAAATTTCAAAAGTGTCGATACTTATAATAAAGTATCGACACTATCAACATATCCGGTAACTCTTTACCGGTTTTGTCATTTCGAGATCGATTTTATCATATTTTTACATGTTATATTGTTATGGATCAATACATTTTTATAAAGTATCGTCACTTTATTAACGCTATAATTTATTCTCTTTTAAATTCCAAAAGTGTCGATATTTATAATAAAGTATCGACACTATCAACATATCCGGTAATGCTTTACCTGTTTTGTCATTTATAGACCGGTTTTGTCATTTTTTACATGTTATATTGTTATAGATCGATACATTTTTATAAAGTATCGACACTTTCAATATATCCGATAACGTTTTACTTGTTTTGTCATTTATAGACTGGTTTTATCATTTTTTTACTTGTTATATTGTTATGGATAAATACATTTTTTTATAAAGTATCGACACTTTCAATATATTCGGTAACACTTTACCTGTTTTGTCATTTATAGACCGGTTTTGTCATTTTTTTACTTGTTATATTGTTATGGATTAATATATTTTTATAAAATATCGACACAAACCGACAAACTAAATTTACCGGTTTCCAAGTTTTTTAATATTTTTCATGATTTCCAACTATTACATTATTATTACTCGATATTTTCGATAACGCTAAACCGAATTTATTAAATATCTTTTAATGTATCCGATAACGCCGTATATTAATCGTATATTAGTCCGCCTTTTCGGATACCATCCCCATTTCTGTTGCTTCCTTTTAAGTTATCCAACGCCAAATTCCTATGTTCACCTTTCGCCTTAGCCTTCTCCTCCTTCGCTTTGTCCCTATCCTTATCTTTTCTGTGACTTTTCTTCTCTCTGTGTTTATCCTTGCGTTTATCCCTGATTTTATCATCTCCTTTTTCTTTGGTTTTTTCTTTCCCTTCCCCGTGTCTCTCGGCATTATTCTCCACTTGATTGGGGATCCCTTCAACTCTAGCTTTATCTGCTGCAGAAAGGTTCGAAACCATATCATTTCCACCAGCTCTCGTTTCCTCCCCGATTCCTTGCACATTGAACTTCCTATCATCACTTTTCTTGGTCTCTTCCTTCTCTTCAGCCAATTTATTAGCAGTCTAAGCAACAAAACTGACCATTCCCTCATCCTTTTTCCGGTCACTACCCGTAAACATATCCACCAATTCGCTTCTAGCTCCTGAACCTTCATCTCTGACCCTCCCCGCCAACTCCTGCACAAATTTAGAATCCCGGAAATCTTCAGCCAGATGACAATTCTGGCCAATCTTTTCTCTAATTTAACCTGAAATGTGCCCAGCGAGTTTCTTCTCACCTGACAAACTGCTTCGATCTTTATCCCTAACCTTCTCTTTCTGGATAAACTTCTCCGCACTGTGACCTTCATATTTTCCGGGAAGTTTCTTCTCATCTGAGATTTTCTCCCCATTCTGAACATCGGAATGACCAGAAAATTTATTTTCCTCTGAGTTATTACTTCTGTCCTTTTCTTTTTCTTTATCTCGACCCTTTTCCTTCTTTTTATCTGTCTTTTTCCTTTTTGTCTTTCTTATCCTTGTCCTTTTGCTTTCCATCGCTTCTATCTTTAGCCATTTTTTTCTTTCTTTTCCCTCTTCTCCTCCTCCTTGTCTTTGTCCCTCTTCTTCTCCTTATGACTCTTCTCTTTTTGTTTCGCCTGAAAATCGAGAATGCAGTTTTTCTAAATACAGATTCATAAACCAAATACAAAAGAGAAATATTGACATAACTCAGAAAATACCAAACAGATATTCGGTAAACCCCAAAAGTTAAAGAATAAATTACTAAAACATCCATTCTGCACCAAGTTACAATCAGTGCAGATATATACCTACGGAAAGGCCTCGGTCAACCTATTACACACCGATCATATATCAGGATTAAATACAGGCCATCGTAGAAGATAATTATCTCAAAATCCCTTTGCATTCCGTCTTGAAAGGTTGTGACAGTGGGAATTAAAGGTATATGATAAAACATTAACAGCCATCTTAAGAATGTCAAAACACAAGCGCGTACGGTTTCAACTATTCCAACAGATATTAAGAATGTCCAAACTCGGGAAGAAACCGATTCTTCCGGATATAGCAAAAACATATACCAAGTAAATGCATGTGTTCTTAATTAATTAATAACTTTATACTCGAACCAATAGGAGAAGTGGTTGATATTCTATCCCAATATTTTTTCATCCATTACTTCTCAATACATTAATCATAATCAGTAAGGACACAAAATTAGTGGAGGGGAGCTAAACCCCAGGACAAGCTTGATTATACACGGGTGTCGTCACTCGTCACTTATCAAAGGTTGTAAACAATAACATCATCGTCAATAAGAACAGAAATAAAAGTGCACATTAAGAAGGATGATTGAAACATCCGTTAAATCCTGAAGAAAAAATAGTAAAATTCTTTATTGTGAGATCCATAGAGCAAGTCAAACATCAGTTAGTAGAAGCTTATCTCTAGAGAGGAGAAAGAAAAGGTGAGAGATATAAACCCGACTCGATCTTTCATTCAACAGGGTATTGGCAACATTTTGTTCTATGAATTAAATAAAACATCAGAAAAATAGTATAATAGAAAAACATGACATAGATTCATATAGACCATATACGATTGAAAGAACAATTGAGATGTTCATTCAGTCATAAATATAACTAGTGCCTAATGGTGAGAATATAAATTAGCACCAGCAATACCAGTCTACCGTTTCAAATAAGGCTCCATTTCGACTTCATTTCAAATAAAGGCTCCATTCCTATATGATATGTTCATGATACAGCCTATCAACCTAATCCATAAAACTATATACATGCCTCATTCAGCAAAGAATGGCGTTACTGAATTCTCAATAAAATTAGTCACAGAAGATTATGCATACATAAAATACATTTTCAGAGAAAACAAAACGAAAAAAAAAACTTTATAAAGAGTTTAACATCGCATGGAAAATAAAAACAGAAAGCGCAAGCTCAAATCCAATTCAGATATCAGGGAATTTGTTCTCATCGCGATACTGATGTGTACTGATTCTACCATGATAATGGCGCAGAATACAAGCAAATGATGTTAACCTTATTTAGCAAGTCCACGTCATTGGTCCTAGCCTTCTTTTCATATCCTGGTGGTGGGAAAGGAAAGGAAAGCAACGAGACATTTCACAGAAGTTTAGAACACGAAACGATAATGCCTTCCGAACACAAAACCACTTGGATTATCTTCCAGTAGCAATGTTCCAGAAAGAGAACAACAAGTAATTGTGCTCCTATCCATGCACCATATCCCTGCATACATTTCCAGCTTCAATGTTCTCCCATGAACTCCCTGTCACTCTCGATAGCTCAAAGTTCCTAAATCCACCAAGCTCTTTAATCTCCCTAACCTCAAATGTAGCCCCAGTTCAACTATCTAAAACTAAACAAATCACTTCGAATGACAAAATCACCGCAGCAAAGTCTCCAATCACTGCTAAACTTACTCTTATCTTACCCTAAGCTACTTCAACAATGCCCCAAAATAGAAATATATCTTCAAGAAATGCTCTTCTGATCAAGAATTCTAGCTCAAAAAGTATGATAAACCAAATGGGTTTTTAAGAAACAAAATTAGTCCAGTAAAATCTGACACTCTCTGTTGTTTGCAGCACAATAAAGAATCATCACCTTCTTCTCCCAATAACACAACCCAATGCCAAAATCATCCACCAACTGAGATCAACCACATAAAAATATCACTAAAAACCCAAACACCCTTTTGTCTAAAACAACTAAATCCTCAAGCTTTTGAATCACTATCTACGCAACTAATCACGAAAGCAATCTCCTTCCACGTCCAAAAGCTTTCCAATAACCATTTCCCTTAAGCAATCTGTATAAAAACCAAAGCTCGAGAGAAATAGCTCCTCAATCCGATTGAGCTCATTCATACTCTGATCAGAACCCTAATCAGTTCCCAATTCGGGAAATTCCCCCAATCCGTTGATCCGGATGAAAAACCCTAGAAACAAAAAATACACAATCAAACAAAAACTTCAACTGAGCAAACATCAAATACCCATTATACAAAAATAGAAAACTTTAAGAAGACCCCAATTTTATCCAACGATTAAATAAACGGAAAAAAAAAACCTAAAAAGGTTTTTCAAAATAGAAACTTTATCTTTCTGAGTACCATAAGAGTAAATGGGTATCGATCAAAAGCCAAAAAGAAATCTTTGGTTCAAAGAGTGAATGTTAAACAAAATAACCCTAAATCAGTTTTCGAAATAAAACAAAATTCGATGGTAATTGGGAAGATTAGATTATTACCTAGCCCGCAACAAATTGGGTATTATAGGAAGGAACAATATCGTTTCTTTTTATTTTTCCCTCTCAAATTAATAAAAAAATAGATTATAAAATCACAGATTAAAGAGATAAGCAGCGGAAGTAAGCAAAGGTTTAATCCCAGTTTTTTTCTACCTGTTTAGGATTTTTTTTTTGGGTATTGAAGTGTTGGGTATTTTGAGAGAAATAGAAGAAATAAAGAGCTCTTCTTTGTTTGAAGAAGGCTAATTGGTTTTTGCTGTGGAAGATGCACGCGAGAGAGAAAATTAGGAGAAAATCAAATCCAAACAAAATTGAAGTTAAAATTAAGAAAGAAAGAAAAAAGGTCCAAGATAAAGGCCCATATAAATTGCAAAACTCATGTCGTAAACTTTATATATATATTAATAATTGATTTGGGTAAAATTACTCCAATAATGTGTTAAAAATTATTATTCTTGTAAAGTTTAAAGAAAATTGCTTTTTAACTAAAGTATTTATTACGGTACCTGTTTGAAGTCATCTGTATTACACGATGATTTTTTTAAAGATGTTTGTATCATCGACGATTTATAAAACGCCACCAGTTGTCTATGCTATCGTGCATGCATGAAGCCTGAAGAAGACGCTATAAACTCTTGATGGGTTTTAGAAATCTTCATCTATTTCAACACATTATTCAAAAAGAAAATATCATAAATTTTGATAATTCAACATATTAATTAATTAATTCATACAAAGTTTTATAGAGACTAACTTATTATAATGACAGATCTTCTAAATTTCTTCTAATTCAGAAAGGTTCAAGCACCAATGACTGCAGTACGGTGATTGAGCGGTCAATGTCAAATGGTTGAGAGTATTTAAAACATATACTATTTTATAATCTCCTTAGCTTAATAAAAAAAATTAAATTAATGCTGATTTTTGTGGTACAATCTTGTTATAACATATGCATATGCATTAGGGTTATGCAAAGATATTAAGAAAATATAAAAATTTACTAAATGATTTTATGTTTCATGTAGATTGTTGTTTTTGTATTATTGCCTGTAAGATGTACGTAAGAAGGCATAAATAACACAGGCTCGTCGGTTTTTTACAGGACTTGTTCTTATAAGATTAGTTTTTTTAAGAAAAAAAATTGAGTTTGAATTGGGTTGATTTTTTTTAAGGTATAGTCAGGTACGAGTTTATGATGAAAAAAATGTTAATCCGATCCAAAAAAAATAGTATAACTATCCTTTATATATTTAAAAATATTTACAATGATAGCCCTTTGTATATTTTTTTCAAATTAAGTCACTATTACACCTATTAAAAATAAAATTATACATATGTGTCAAATTAGATCAAGCTGAGTGTGAGATTTTATCTAAAAATCAGGTCAAATTTCGGATTGGGTAGAATCTCGTCAAACCCGAATCGATACAAGTGACGAGTCAAGGATATGAGGTTCAGGTCCAAAAATCCAATCCATACACATTTTTAAACGTGCGACCAAAATATGACAAATATTATAATAAGCTCACATAATGATAAAACACATTAGGGATATTTGGATGGAATAAAATCTTAACTTTAATTTATAATTTTTTGTAATATTTATTTATGTTTTAAATAATAAAAAAATTAAAATATTATATAAAAATGTTAATTACCTTTACCTTTTAAAATTTTATATTATGAAAATACTTTGAGACTATGTTATGAAAAATCATTAAACAAAGTCATTTTATTAAAATAAAGTCCAAAATATTAAAATTAATATAAAAAATTATAAGAGAGTTTACCCTGTTTTTTTTGTTCTTTTTATTTAGTCTTCATTAGTTTTTTTCTTTATTTTTGTGATCGACATCGACATCAGTCTTAGTTCTGATTGGTGATCGCCCGTATTCGTTATTTATCATTTGTTTTATTATAGCGTAACTTTATTTTTTTCTTTTTTTATTTTTAATAATTATGTCTTTATGGCACATTTTCTTCTATCTTTATAACACATTTTCTTCTACCTTTATGACACATTTTTCGTTGTCTTTACAACACGTTTTCAATCATTTATTTGTTATTTTTGTTTATTATTTTCTTTTCAAGGTTTGATTTGATATTGTCACGACCGTCTTTTGGTTGGGCCCCGGAATTGGGCTTCGACTTGAATAATTGGGTTAGAGTCGTCACTGATCATTTTAAAACAAATTTAGGTGGGTCGGACACCATCTTACCTGATCTGCGTTTCACCAGAAATATATCGGGTTCGGGAGTCGGTTACGGTCAAAGAATGATTAGCACCATTGAACCGCCCTTTCGGTACCAATTAATTTGTCGGTTGTCTTAATTTGCCAAAAAAAATTAAATTTAAATTTAAAAATTCAATTCGAATTATTTACATTTGATCGATCGAGATTACTACTAGAAAAGTCAGAAAACGATGTTAGATAGAAAAATAAATAAATAAAAACAAAAGGCAAAAACATAAAAAAAATATAAAAAATAAAAAATATAATAGTAAAAAAAATATAAAAAATGAACCAAAAGGAAAAAATAAATAAAATAAATAAAATAAAAAATAAATCAAAGAAGTAAAAAAATGAAATAAAAAATAAATCAAAGAAGTAAAAAAATGAAATAAATAAAAAAAGGGTAAAAATGTTAAATTTCAAATAAAGAAAAAAGGAAAGAAAAATAAAAAAAAGGGAAATAAATACATTTAGGGAAAAAAATAATTTTTTATTCAAAAGTAAAAAAAGGTCAAAATGTTGAAAAAAGGAAAAAGAAAAGGTTAACGTTTAGGGAAAATAAAAAAAAAATTTATTTAAAAGTAAAAAAGGTCGAAAAGGTTGAAAACAAATAAAAAGGAAAAAGTTAACGTTGAAAAACAAAAAAAAAAGTAGCGTTTAGGGAAAATAAAAATAATAATAATAAAGGTTAGTTAACAAAGAAAAAAAGTAAATAAGAACAAAAATAAGAAATAAGAAATAAAATAAAATAAAATAAAATAACACAAAAAATAATTAAATTAAAAATGAAAAGTAAAAAGGTTAAATATTGAATAAAAAAAGAAAATTTGTAATAATAATAAAAATAAATAAATAAATAAACAAGGATTAAATTGATAAAATTAGAAATATGGAGGGAAATTTACATATGGTGACCAAATTGAATTAAGACTCAAAATGTCAGGGACGACGGAAGGAATTTAAGAATCTTGTATTTTGTAAGATGATCCTTAGTATATAAATAACCAAAAACCCTCTTTTCTCCCTTTATTCTTGCCATTTACTCAGATATCATTCTCCAAGCCTCTCCCAACTCTCTCAACATCCCTCATGGTCGGTCAAAGTCCGGTGGCTTCTCGCCGTGCCACCGCCGCTCGCGTCGGTCGGAAAAGCCAAACCTTTAGCAAAATACTCCCCTCAACCTCGTACACACAAATCCGAGACCCAAAACACCAAAACTCACCCCTACTAGCGTAGATCTAAAAAAACTCTTCGGTTTTTTACCTTTGCCGACAAGCTCTTCGTCTCCCGCTTCGACCTCCGACGATTTCGAGTTTTGCTTGGCTTTGTCTATGTTTCCTTTCAACCTTTCACTTTCTGTGAATAGGTGCTTTTGTAACAAACCGGGAAAAAAATATTTAAATCGATGTAATTTGGTGAAATTTATGGACTAAATTAAAATTTTTCAAAACTTATAGGTCATTTTAGAAGTTTGAAGGAAATTCAGGGACCAAGCCCTGAATTCCACCAAGGAATGTCGGCAGGCTTGCATTATAAGCGTGTTTTCTGATTGAAATCAGAAAACACATGCTTTATTTACTTAATTTTTCTTCCT